TCTTGGTTCTACTCAGAGCTAATGAACATGTAAGCTAAAGATGAACTGCTAAATAAACATTGAATTCTAAATAGTCACATAGCCTTCCATGTATATAATACAGATAAAAGTAGATATTTAATGTCTGATTTTATAAGGTGAAATTCTGGTCTTCCCACGGTCTGTGGTTGTGAATTAAGGGGACTGCAAGAGTACTGCAAGAGTAGAGGTAACACAGTAGATTAAAAAAAAAAAAAAAAAAAATTCTGACTTCTTAGTTTGTATATGCACCAAACGCAGGCATTTCAACAGTAAGGTTCTGCCAACATCCACAAACTTTTCTGAACAAACAGATGACTTATTATGATGATGCTAAATGAGGAAATACAATTTAAGAATTTATACAGAAGATACATATCATATTTTAATAACCAAATTAGGTCTCTATCAGAAATCACAGCAAAATATATTTAAAAGTATAAAACAAACATGCATTAGGATTTTAATAATTGGAAGTTGGGCACTTCACAGACAAATGTGCTATATGGCAACACAGCATTGAAAATGGAAAAAAAAAAAAAAAAAGAAAAAGTCATGGAAACTGTGTGATCTGAATGTCATGCCTTTCCAAAATTGATAAATTGAAATCCTAACCCACAAAATGATGGATTAGGAGAGGGGGCTTTTGGGATTTGATTAGGTCATGAGGGCAGAGCTTTTATTAATGGGATTACTGTCCTTATAAAAGACACACCAGAGAGCTCTCTTGCCCCTTGAGGACACAAAAAGAAGGTAGTGATCTATGAACCAGGAAGCAAAATCTCACTGGACATTGAATGTGCCAGCCCCTTGGTCTTGGACTTCTCAGCCTAAAGACGTTTGAGAAATAAGTTTCTGTTACTTACAAGCTACCCAGTTTATGGTATTTTTATATAGCAGCCCAAATGGACTAAGACAAAGACAAAAGAAAATGTATTTAAAAAACACCAAATGCTTTATTCTTTTCTAAGTATTAATAATATCAAATCTATTTTAAGAGTAAGTTTAATAAAATATTAATTTTGGTATGACAGTATAGATAAAAACTTAAAGCACATGATAATACTAGATACTACTCATCAATTAGTTAAGGTAGAAGAGTTGTATCCAGGTCTTAACTATTATAATCAGCTTTAACAATCAGCTTTGAGAAAAATCTATCATTATTTTTATAAATTATACTAATTTAAGATCTACTCTTCACAAAAAGAATAAAGCTTATGTACTTTCAGGATGTGTAACTATATTCTTTTCAGTTCTACTTGTAATATTTTGCTTTTCTAGTAACATGAGAAACCTGGATAATTAAACAATAAACGTTCATTTGACTTTTTAAAATGGACAACTGAAACTGTCGCCCCCAAACAAATATGCTTCAGTCATGAAATGGCAAATTCAAGATACAATAAGAAAAATGTTCTGGAAATACAACGGTCAAAGAGAAAGACAAGGTTTCTGCCCTCATAGAGCTTACACTCTACCAGGAGAAGTTAACATTAAGTATAATCACAAATACAAATATGTAATTACAATTATGATGACTTATGAAGGAAAAGTACAAGCCTCCAATCAAAGTGCCAACATTAGCTGATAATTATTAACTTGTACTCCTGAGCTATTAACCAACTATTATGGCTGGACTTTCAGGTAAAACATATTCTGACTTTTTTGTAATTTAAATATTCATTCTGGACAAGCCATCAAAGTAAAATATAAATAAATAATCAAAGCAATTATTGGAACAAAGTGACCAGTTACGCATACATAGCAAAAGAAACAAGAATAAACAAAAAAGACATACTTAATTCAAGGCAAATAGATAAACATAAATTCTAAATAGAAAGGAGAATAAAATTAGCATTATCAATGATCCTAACAACATCACTGACAAATTCCAAGCCAAAAAAAAAAAAGAAAAAAAAAATGTGATCCAAATTTCATGAACACTATTTGAATCCATCTACCCACAACCAGCAAAAGTAAGGTTGGCTTTGAATAACAGATCTTCAGCTGCCCCAAAGAAAACTATAATTCATTCAAATAAAGTTTATTCTTAACCATATCCAGTTAAAGGTGACACATCTTTGTTTAGGGAATGTAAATTTAAAAAAAAAAAAAAAAAAAAAAAAAAAAAAAAACAAGCAACAGATTGACTCTAAAGTCTGAAACAGGATGACTAATTAAAAATAGGAGGCACTGTGGCCTATGAGAAGAATGAGAAAACTTGTGTTTCATTCATTGTGATTCTGCCAGCCCATAGCAGTGGTCTGTACCATGTCTCCAGCTGACTTCGCCATTTTTGTCATGTACACTGATAAGGGGTTTTGCAGTTTCCAAACCCTGAGTTGTTATGGAGCACAGAAGGATCAACACCAACGCTGTAAGGGCACATCACAAAGTAAGACCAGTGCTTACCTCGAGAGAAAGGACTTGAGAGGAGGATGAAGAAGGTTATCAAAAGGAATGTTCTTTTTACATGTGTTACTCATTTTTTAATGAAATATGTTAATCACTGGACATTTAAAAAGTTAGAAAATATTTAAGAATTCATACAGAACAAATCAAAATAATGAAGATGTTCTTGAATTTTTTCTAGTCTTTTTTTTTTTTTTCCAAAAAGAAAGACATTAATCCACAAAACTTCATTCCAGATCCCCTGAATTCACTACTCACACAAGAGAAAAGTGGGAAAATTGAGAAAATTGCTCCATGATTATATTGAGATGTAAAAATTTAGGAAACGTAAGTTTACACTGTAAATCATTTATTTAAACTGGCCAGATTTAACCCTGATTTTATACACAACTAGGATTTAATTCCATATAGGAAGCTACAATGTAAAGTTTCTAAATTATTTTTTCTAGATTTTTTTTTAATCCCTTCAACAGATGGCACAAGGTGGGGATATTCACATAAGAGAGACTTGGATCGATGTTATGTTTGCCTTTTTCTGAATTCCTAGTTCACTTTGTACCACTATCATAGCATTTCCCTTCTGTCATTCATTCTAACTTGCCCACATGTTTTCATTTCCTTGTTACATGAACACTCTTTGAATGTGGATGCCATGTCATAGTCATGATTGTATTTTTGCTCTAGAATATAGATTTATGGAATTAATCTGCCATTAGAGAAGATTTACAATCACCTTTCTCATTTCTCTACATCTAATTAAACAATATGTAATGGGTAGCATTCTGATTTGCAAAATACTCAAGTCCATCTTAAAATCTTCTTCCTCCATTTAACAGCAAAAAGCATACTCATCCCGATAACAGAAGAAGAATGCAATGAAAAAATCAAGTTCCTGTCCTCTGTGTCTTTGTGCTGATTGAGGAATACAATCTGAGGAAAACTGGTGAAGTTAAAATATAATGTTTGACACACATGCCAACAGAAAACATTTAAGACTGACATAGAAAAACTGAATAAAGTTAAGTGACACTTAACATTAAGTACACCAAAACAAATAGCAGCTGAGTATAAACATGAACTACTCCATATGTAGAAAATTGTTGTATAATTTAAAAATTATTTTAAGAGTTACTTTTCACAAAATAGCAAATATAGGAGTGTATATACTTACAAATTGTGTATTTATACATGCATCCATACAAATACACATATGTATATATACAAACACATACACATATATTTTATTCAGTCAGTAAGATAAAATATGTTCTTCCCTCTATGCCATCCTAAGTCCACATAATAAAGAACATGATGAGAAATGCCCGCTTAAGAGAAGGCAGTGGATGAGATTTTGGCCTCAATTAAAAACGTTTAGAAAGCCCTCAAAATGTTACACGAAACTTCTAAAATAATTGATACATACTATCATTTGCATAGTTGCTAGAGGCTTAATATGAGATTAAATTATATTATTGAAAATAGCTGACCAAAACAAAAACTGTGATAACCTATGTTGTTGGATCAAAGTATTCAAACAGCATTTGTTTCTAAAGCTCTATTTTACACATTTAAAATTGATATCATTTCTTACATATTGCCTGGCTCATGTTCAGGTGCTTTTTCAAGCAGAAAAGTTTTGCTGCTAGACGACACAAACATAAGGGTGTAGAACTGTGAACTGTGGTCCCAATTCACCAGATTAACATTGAGAACATAAGAAAGAATAAAGATATTCCTGCATTTAAACCATTAATAATAATTAAAAATATAAACTAAATAGAAACATTCACTAATACACAGTTAAAAATGGTTGATTTAAAGACTGTTCTATATGTTCGCCACAGCTGCATACCACTTTCTTCCTTTTAGTGACAACATTAAACACAATGAGGATGGTTTTAAATGGCAAATTACACATACTTCTGGATTTTATACCAAGACCATCAAAGAGTACACATGCCTGACTTACCAAGCAATGCGGGTATGCATAGCTAGTTGATATGTCCTTAAAACAAAGTAAGTATGCATAAAGAGAAATGTCTTTCTCCTCTTTTGACTCTTTCTTAATATTGCCGTTTTAGGTTACTACAGTGTTCATGTGCATAAATGGAATCTAGCAGACAACAAGGTGATGCGCCCACAGCAGTACCATTTCAGTGGTGCATATGCTTAGACTTATGTCTCAACACAGAATGGCTGGGGCAGGTGTGCTCCAGAGCTGAATGTTTGAAGATGATATATTTACAGTTCCTAGACTTATTTAACTACCATTAAACGATACTGCAAAAACTGACACCAAAGCCTGCAGCTAATTTCTAAATATACTAACTGTGTGAGCACCTCATATGAAAAAGATCACTCTAAAGAGAAAAAAAAAAAGGGTGAGGGCAAAAACAGAAGCATATTGATGAATTTTTCTTACCGTAAATTTATAAAATATTTATTAACACATATACCTACCTCCCAGTGCCCATTACCAATGCCAAAAGGTCTAAATACATTTACATAACTCAGATACACTGTAATTCATACCGATGATATTAAGAAGAAATAAAATAATGTAATACCTTTACTTTTACCTATGGATTTGATGAAATGGGTCCATGAAGAAAGGGTTTCCAGACAAAGAGGATAAAGAGGAGAAAAACAACAATAAGAATTATGAACATATGTAAAGTCACTACTCTCTGAAAATTAAACGAGACAAGAAAGTATAAACAAGGTTTTGAAGACAAATGGAGGCGCAATCAGGACACATTGGGAATTCTGCCTGTTTTGAAGTCAAGTACATGCAAAAAATTGAATGGCCCATGCTCAATTTTTAAAAGATCACACAAAAGAGAGACACAAAATAAATCTACGAAAAGTGTTGATTCTGTGGAACACTATACTCAGCATTCTAGAAGCCAGAAGCCAAAGATGTCTGCGTGTCCCCAAACTGTCATGCATGGATGAAAAATGGACTGGGTTTTTGGATAGAGTGGTTTAAACTGAGGATCTTCTTTCAGACAGCAATTTCTGATGGTTCCCGGTTATCCTTTACCATAACCACCCTTTACTGCATATGCTGATAAATATACAGAAAATTTCAATCACAATTTCTTATGTCTCATTTATTTGCAGATATTATAATGCAAGAAATGAAGGAAAATAAAAAAGTCACATGAACAAATAAAAATCAAACCAACAAAGAAAGGGAAGAAAAACACATGAAAAAATGTGAACGAAAGATATGTATTTCATTTGCAGCCACATAATTTGCAAGCATTTGCCCATCCTTTGCAGTGATGGTTTGAAAGCAGCTACAGAACAAGAAAACACTGAAAGCAGAGTGGAAAAGGAACAGAGCCCATACCTTGGTCGCCCATCATCAGGTGCGCCAGACCTTGAAGGGAAACAAGAGCACAGTCAGCAATAAACAAGGGAGCATGGGAAGGCAGGGTTGTCACGGTGACAAAAATGTTCAGTGACAGACATCTCGTTTCCTATGAGACATGTCTGTATCACAGAGGCAAATCAAAAAGCATTCTTTCAACCCCTGGTTGGAATGCTTTGGGGCAAAGTGTTCTAGAACTGCATTTTAAACACTGGCATATGCTGCACGGTGTATTTCTTCCATGCATCAGTTGGAACAAGCAAGAGCACAAGAGCATGACTTAAAATCCAACCAATCCCCTCAATATTACATCTGCCCTCTGTGCCCTTTGATGAGACTGTTTTGAATATTGCCCCCACAGGGCTTGTAATTCTTCAGTGATGAAATTACACTTTTAAAACCCAATGGGATACCTGAAACATGGGCTGGGTCTGATCTTTTTCCCCTCATCAAAAAATGAGCAGTTTTATAATTAAATGAAGAAAAAAATTGTAGTCACACTGAAATGATAATGCAGAAATGTCTTTTTGTCTGATACATATAGCGACTGACTAGGCTTGTTCAAATACAAAATGATCATTAGACATGCAGTTGTAAAGTTAGAATTTACTACAGAAAGGGGTTTTTAAGAAACAATGGGTCAGCTGCAAATATGCTAAAGCAATTTTCTCAGAGAACAAAATTATTTGAGATTTCAACTAGACATTTCTTCAATGCTGAATTCTAAGTGTAAAGATATATATTACAGATGTAATTTCACCAAGGAATTTTTAAAGGGACATTGAAATCCCTTTATTTATTTATTATTTCCTGCTTGACAATTCACTTCAAACTTGAAGAGCACTCTTCTTCTAAAGAATACTACTAATATGCTTTCAAAAATTCTTTTGCTATTCAAGAAGTTACTTTTTACTGAAAGGCATAATCCCTACCTTTTTATCTTAAATTCAGAAATAAAGCTATTTCCCTATCCATGTATATGTCTAAAATATGGGAAATTGTTAGAGAAATATACATACATCAATTTTAATAAACTTGTATTTTCAATTCCCAGTGCTATTTCAGAAACTTTATTTGAGCTATATAACATCATATATTGTTTTCATCAGTATTTAAATTATCTGTGTTGTTTTCTTAAAATTTTAGGGGTATTCAAACATCTCTGTAGGCTAGATATAATTATAAATAATCATCTAATCACAATATAATATGAAAGTTATTAAACATAGTAGTTTGATGCCTCTGAACTGTAGCCGCTCTGTATTTTCTGAGTGATTTTAACAAAAAGCTCACATAGGCAGATTCAACAGCTTATGATCTATTGATAATTCATGGTGTTTTATATGCTGATAAATAATGGTTTATTTGTCCAGGTTATATAATTTTTCATTTAATTTCACTTTTAAAACTACTATAGATTTTTCCAAATAACAAGTTTTTATGGACTAAATGAGGAAATTGTCTTGAAGATCTACCTTTTAGGAAATATATTAGGTACTTCTAACGGCTTTGATGCTACATCAATAAGGATGGAAACTCACTAATCCCCAAAGAATTCACATTCTTCCTGCTAGACTTCCTACCTGCACTGTAAAGGTTATATTATAGATAGAAATATTAAAATTATTATTGAATAGACTTTATTACAATAGCTTATGGGCCCTATATTCTAAAAATCTTATCAAAACTTTGCACGAGATGAGTGTGTGTGAAAAGAGAGAAGCATTCATGTTAATTAAGCTGATTTTAAAGCCTCTTGGAATGCAACAGGATTTTAAGAGAAAAGGAAAGCATTTCACAGGATGGTTAAGGAAATGCAAAATAAGTGGAAAAGATACCTTTAAAAAATAACTTTTAAACTCAGTTGACATGCACAATATAAATGAGACTGATTTTAAAAGATATTAAGCCTGCAGGGTAATATATCATTTTTATCAAGTATATAATCACATGCAATTAAAATTATAGTATAGAAAAACAGAAGCCATATATGGATACAACACTTGGAAAATAATCATTTATGATTTCTTTTGAAGTTTTAATCTATTTTATTTAGATAACAAAACAGAAATGTTCAGCAGCTAAGCAATTATAATATTATCCATGTAAGAATGACAAATAAAATGTTTATCCCTGCTACTGGTCAACTTTGAATTACCATCAAATGTTCTTTTTAGATACATGAAGTCTTGGTAACCTTAATGGCTATTTGTCTGTAACCTGGGATAGGGAGTCTTTTTCTAAGAAATCCTTCATTCTATAGAAATGTACATTTACAGAATAACTATATTTCAAAATATGGTAGCAAAATAAAATATACTAAATGCTGCCTTCTCATATATAAATATTAGTAAATTGTTTATGCAAGAACTATTAATGCTGTGAATATGTAAGTTGATAGAACATATATAAGTTAATAAAACCTTCCCTTTCACCATTCTTTTGTTATGCCTAGTTCTTTTTGCACGTTAACCCTTTGAAGATTTGTTTGTAGCACACTGACTAATGCATTTAAGTTCTTAAAAAATGAGAATGCTGAAATATGTTTTAATTTGCTGGATTCTACAGGAAAATATATAAGCTATATAACTTCTTCAAAATTCTGTGATAGAGATAATTTTTTATAAAAGCTTGAATAAAATATTTAGCAGGCAAAACATATTACAAATATACTTACCAGTAATCATATCGAAGTGCTGTATGCTTTCATTTCCACTGAACAATGGCTTATTTTTTAACCTAAATTTATGTCTCTTACTTATACTCAGTATTTTATTGCATTCTTTTTATATATCCAATCATTTGAAACAAACCAGTGGGCTTGAAATGACATAATGCTAAATTTTCCCAACAGAATAGAATAAATCATTTTGATTAAAAAAATGGAAAAAAGATCATGCACTGTCTTATGAAACTACAAAGAAATATTTTGTCTTTTAAAGTAAAAAAAGCAGCATTGTATCATTTTTCTCATACAGAACACTGCAAGAACTATTCTAAGGTTCATATGGGATGCTGAGATCTATCAAGGGTTGAAGTTAAGCTTGAAAAAGTTTCATATACTTGGGATGGCAGGGTTGAGTATGTATATGTTCTGTACGAAAAGTGATACACAATTCAGAAACCAACAAATGTTCAGAAAGAAGTTCAACTTACCGTCTAACTTCAAGATGTACTCTATTAGCACTAAGAAATAAAGGACAAATGAGAGTTGGAAAAATAAGGTAGAAAGCACCCACCTTCCACATTGTTGTCTTCTGAAAGCGCATGACAAGGAGGGAGAGAAAAGGAAAAACATTCATTAAGCAGCATGCAGACTGGACCTTGCCTTTGCATGTCTTCCTCATGCAAGGCACCAAACACATCATGCAAGTGCTCCATCACTATCATTCAAGGGGGAAAAAAAAATCACAGGGGAGCAGATTCCCTCCCATTGGCAGCATTGATAGGAAGTGAAACAAACTTTCATAATACTGCCATATCCTCTGCAAAGAGCTTTAAAAAAATCTTTCAACTGCCCAGTATAAAGAAAACATTACTGTTATTACATATTGCTGGTGTGGTCTTTCTAAGCAACTATTTTTAAAAGCTGTTTTGTTTTCTTTTTAACAATTCTAAAAGGTTCTATTTTCATATACTAATTTGGAGTTAGATTTTAAGAAGGCTATTGGAAAAAGCTATGAAATGTGACTTAAAGATATTCCAGTTCTACCAAATATATTATCCATATGCCATTACTTAAATAAAAACAACATAGCTTTAAGCAACTAAAATCTGTATTTGGTTAATTTATAGCATATTAATATTTTATTGCAAATGAGAATAGTTTATTGTAATTTATAAAAATGTTAACTTTTAAAAATGTTAGTTAGAAAAAGTGATCATTGGAAGAGAGGTCCACTGGGAACTGTCCATTAGGCAAATTGGTTTGTCATGATTTAAAAACTTTGTACTTCTGTTTAGGATGTGAATATGAATTTGAGACAATGAAAATATTTACCCCAATTTCTATTATATTTCTATATATCTATAAAATACCTACATATTTTCATATATTTTATTAGTCATATTTCCATGTGTGTACCTATGTGCGTATGTATAAACACATATATCCAAGCATATTTGTATTTTCTAAGATAATCAATATAAGTATATGAGGTTTAAAGCATTATTAGCACCTATTGGAAAATTCAAGTTCTATTTGAGATGCGGGGCCTGGAATCCAGGCAAAAAATGGAAGGGAAAGTGGTCTTAGGATACTAGGGCAAGAGCAAGGTTCAGTACTTATTGAAAATGTTCTAATAGTAAACTCTGCCCATGTTGACATTTTAGTCTCATCCTTATTTTTTGTTTAATTAACTGTACTTAATACAGTCATCATCTGATCAAAAGTGTTTATAAACATGGCAACATGCAAATATAGAAACTTGAAAGCAAAAAGAACTAAATTTTATTAGGTTCAACTAAAACCTTTTTAATTGGATAAAGTTACTAGTGAATTAAAAATCAACAATTTTGTTTAAAACATTTCAGCTGAAAATTGAAGTATCAACACAGGCATATTTACTGATGTGGTGTTAGCATGTAATAGAAAATAGCTAGTGGCCAAATGTGGGTAATAACATCTTTACACAATACTTGGTTTTCCAGAATTTATTTTTAAAGAAACAACAAAAAAAGTTTCAAATATTTGGTTTGTGATCTTGACGTCTAGTTTGTTTGTTTGTTTTTTGACTTCCAATTTATTAAATAAGGAATTAGGCTGAATTTGTTACTTTTCAGTGGTGACTTGATGCTACACAAACACAAATACTAAAGTTTTGTTTTACTGCATTACATTGGACATAATACAAAGATATAAATCATTGTAATGTTTAAGATATACTTTACCGGTATTTAACTGCCCTTTGAAACTGTATTTTCTGATTAAGATGCTTATTTCTTAAAAAGATTATTTAATGTGTATTGCAAAATAATAAAATCAGGGAATTTAGAGGAGAGTCATGTGCCAAGACAGTCTGTCAACTGCTACAGCATAATTCAATTTCTGTAAACAAAAGACAGGTAAATATGGTTATGAGTAGCAGTGCCTCGGTAGAAATTTTGGTAAAGTGTGGCCTAAAACTATAATTTAAAAAAGGAAAGAAAAATCAACAAAATGCAACAGGCCCAGGCTTGACACCAACTTTGGGAATGTACTAAGTCGGATATTATAAAAGGAGTTCAAGGTCACTGATTCAGTCCTGACAGTGAGTTCTCCTTTCATGACCATAGGTACAAGCCTAGGTTTTGCCATGGATCCTACTCTAGCATCCAGCATTTTTTTTCTGAATTCTTATTCATAATGAGAAAAAGCTTAATAATGGGAATTCCTGAATACAACCCAAGTCATGCTTAATGTGTAAACAAATTCTGACTCGACTAAGTCCAGAAAAGAGGTTTGTCTCAGAAGATTTAGATTTACCAAAAAAAAAAAAAAAATCAAAGTACTAGAATAAATAGAATAAATGGGTGATACATTAACCACTATTTTAAAAAATAGATGATGATGATGATGAAGACAACTGGCTTGGAACAGACTTTCCTTGAGTTTCTATATATTTTCAGATTCAATTTGAGAATAAAAATCCTCTTTCCTATTCCATTCTATTCTATTCTGATAACCATTTGCTAACTTTACATAATTTAAAACTTGTTAACCTAAAGAAAATCCTTACATTATTTCAGAATTTGGACATGATTATAACTGGTGGTAGCTCCAGCATTTACAACCTTTCTCCAGGTATTTTTTTCTCTTCTCCTTCCTTTCCATTTTATTTCTGTACTAAACAATAAATGTCAAGTCAAAAAAAAGAATAGTTTATCTCCTCATAACAACTTTTTCTTTATCTTTGTGAATTCTTATACAAACAAATGCTACTTTGCTTTTGAGCAGCAACAAAGACAGGTGCTGAATTTTGGCATGCCACGGTGTACAGGTAAAGCAGCATCTTTTGGTTTAGTGTAAGGTAGAAAGCAGTCCATCCGGCCTTACCTGTGGACACTGTCAAGTTAGGGAAAATCTCTTGGTTTGCAGAAAACCCTGGCTTCTTAATTCTGCTGACCTAATCCTTGCTGAGTAAATGAAGTGCATCTCTTAATCATCAACTTTACTACGATGACCATGCCACCTATAAAGATCACACTCTTGTTTTCTTTTGATTGGAAAAATAATGAATATAAAGCTGTGAAAAACATATTTTACATTTTATTTTTCTTTCAGATTAGATGAGCTTCTCTCACAAAGATGGGAATTAGGCAACAGAATATCAATCATGCTATGAATAATGGCTGTGTGCTGACAAGAAGGGAAGCAGCAGCCTGTTTTTAAATCACTGTAAAAGAGCATCTCCACAAAATTTTTATCTTTGGCCCCCAGCTTATAAGAATGCAAGGACAGTAACCTTAGTTTATCATTCCAGTGTTCTTTGCACATACTCTTAAGTATATGGTTCTAGGAAAAGAAATGAATATGAAAACAAAAGTGCTTGTTTCAATATAAAGAAAATCATGACCAGTAAAAAATTAAAATTTGGAATAAAATATCACAAAAATCTCCTTTCTGTATAATCAGTGTTTAAGTTTGGCAATATGTAAGTCGTTCTCTAAATGTACAGCCAGTGGTCCATTTAGTACTACAGCTTACATTAAAAAATGGTCAAAAGAAGCTTCCTGATACCACTTGGGCATTCCTTTACCTCTTTGATTTTTGGTTTTCTTCCTTCCCTGCCAGCTGCCTGTGACTGTCTCCCCTCATTTTCTTTGATTCCCTCTCTCCTCCATCAAAACTGCCAGTACTGCAAGTAGCTTCTGCCCCAGATACAAGCACTCCAGGGTAGGGCATATTACAGCAAAACTGGTGGTGGTAACAGGCAGTTGAAAGACAGATGAAGAATAAAATTCTATTTCCTTCTTCCATACAGGGAGCTTGCTAACTTCTATCCACGTCTCTCTAGCCCATCACATTACTTCTCAAGCCTGTACTCCTCATTTTGGAGATCAAATGCCAGTACAGCAGAGTTCAGTTCCCATGGTGGCACAGGATGGAGCTTTGTGTTTTTTTGTTTTGTTTTGTTTTTTTCTTTTGGTATTAGCAGTGAAAGCCTTTAGAAAACCTCAGTAGTCTGGGAATGCTTCAAGCACTGGGAAATGGAGGAAATCACTGAGACTGTGGATTAAAGCAGCAGTCAGCTGAAGGAAGAGAAATGCGGGCCAGAACCAAGAGGACGTTCAAAGAGAAAATGAAGCATAAAGGTCCATTATGGAGACTTAGGAAAGGAAATAAATGGCCCTGGACAGGAATTGGGCTAATTTCAAACATGCTTTTTAACAGAGGACATCACCTCCTTTTTCAATCCCACCTAAATAATATTCCAAGATACTCCCACCCAGCCTGCTTGGAGTCCTTGCCCTAGGGAATATATGTAGTCAACTACAACAGCCAGTGTTTTTCCTTCTTCACTGCTCAGGAATAAAAAAAGTATATCTAAACCAGATACAGCAACACAGATGTTCCTGGCATCACACCACAAACACTTAAAGAAATTTCCCCAAAAAATATTTTGTTACAAAGACATTTGTGGTATTTAATTCAAAATGTTCTATCTTGTTAATGACAATTAAAAGAAATAAGTAAAGAGAAAAAGAGAAAGGGGGAAGAAGGAAAGCAAGAAAGCCTAAAGTTATCACAATTTATAGTGATTAAGCTATTTGATAAACCTAATTTAGTATTTGTTAGACAACATATTATAATATAAATCAAATGACTCACATAAGCTGTAATGAATGTGATTTCAAATTTTCATGAGGAACTACTACAAGGATTTTAAAATTTGTTTTGCTTTGATAACCTCAGTTCTTGCTCAAGTCTAAATCTTGAGAGTTAACATTTCAACATTCATTTCAATAGTTGGACTTAGGAACACTGAATTTAACAGTGACTGTAAACATGGTGACAAGCACAGTCTACAGTATGTGTGCTCACACCACCCATTTTTATTTTTTATTGCTAACAAATGAATGCTTCCTGATATGGAATTGACAGATCTGAGCAGAGTGCTTATCACATACCCTCCAGACCAAGGCTTAATCACTGCTACACAACTCTCCTAAGAAAGGTGGCTCAGGTGAGCAGTGCTTTCCTTTCTAAGAGTTTGATGTCATCATTAGGATACAGAGCAAGAAGGCTCTTAGACTGAGGTTGAGAGAGTGAACTTAA